GAGTTTCAGATCTAGGTTTTAGATCTTAGTTTGTCTTCTTCGGCAATGAGTTTTCAAATCTAGGTTCAACTTTCAGAATCTAGGATTACTCCGGCGAAGCTCTGGCTAATTTTTCCTTTTTTCTTTTTTAATTTTATTACTTTGGTGAAGCTCTGGTGCAGCTAAACTTTCAAATTCTGGGATTATTCCGACGAAGCTCCGGCTAATTTTTTTTTTTAATTTTATTATTCCGACGAAGCTTCGGTTTAGTTTAATCAGTGGCTAATTTTTCTTTTTTTTTTTAAATTTTATTTTATCAAATTTAATATATTAAAATAATTTTATATGAAATCGTCTATCCAAACATGCTTTACTATTTTCTATTTTGTAAAATTATTTTTAAAATCATCTAACCAAACAAGTTTTTTATCTTAGAAATTTTTTTCTAAAACTCTTTTAAAAAATTATTTTTGAATACTGTTTTTAGAACGCAAACCAAACAGACCCTGTATTTCCTGCAATCTCTCCCCGCAAAAAAAAACCGTATTTGTAGATTTCTAATTAAGCTTTGTTGTCAATATTTTAAATTCAAATAACATTTCTCTAATGATTAAGTTTATCCCGAAAACTTTGTTTATGATGTTGCACATTTGACATGGGCAACATATTTTCATGGGCCACAGTCATAAGCCCAAGTATTTTAGATAACTAACTTGAAACATATAAGACACCGAGTCCATTTTTTGAAATCTTTTAAGTTAAATGCAGTCTGCTTGAGCAAAGTAAAAGGCGGAAGGTGATCACTAGTATAGGTGAGTTATGTAAAATAGCGTAACTCTTATGGATCCAAAATTGACAGATATAACATAAATAGGAGAAATTATAAAAAATAGATTTGATAATCATAACCATTGAATAGATAGTAAGTCTCAATAAATACTGGGACTTATAATGAAATCAATTGTTATAATTATTAAGTCTATTTTTTAAGTCCATGTAGCATTATTATACTTTTTTTGCTTTGTCAAAGACCAAAGGATCAATTCATTCAATTATAAGCAATTGTATCTATCTTTACTACTTTATTCCATGTCTATTTTTATCTCTCTCTTCTCCACCATTCTTTGTCATAAGATATTTTGATTCTACATTTTTTTATTGATATAATCATTCATAATTATTGTATTGGCAGTGGGGTACCTTGCAGTATTTGTTAAAATCCTCTACTAATTAAATTAATGTAATAGATGATAGCCCAAATACGACAAAGCCTTCCCTTGTTTCCTGCACCCACTCCTTAAATTGCTTAGTTTTGGAAGAATTTGTACTATCCAAAAATGAAACCCTTTTTCTGGGTCGTTGAAACACTCTTAGTGTAATTTTAAGAGTGAGATAAGAAAATAATTAAATTAAATTAAACACTTAGTACAATTCTTTTATAACACCAAAACACATCAAAGAGGAATAACGTAAGAACAATTGCAGGTGGAGATGCTTCTAGAAAGCATCCAAAAAGAGAACAACAGAGGTTTGCATAGTGGAAAGAATAAAACAATCCAAGACAGAAGCAAAACATATCAATCCATTCCTTTAACAAAACTCAACACTCATTCTCTTACTTTTTGCTCTGTCAAAAAGAGTAAAGGATCAATTCAATTATAAGCAATTGTATTTTATTTCATGTCATTTTTTATCTCTCTTCCCCCAATATTTCCCTAATCAATTATAAGAATATGGTATGTTGCAAACATATTTATCAATCTATGATATTTTTTAACTTATATAACAAATTACGACACTTTTTAAATAGTAGAGGTATTTCAATGATAACTTTAATGCTAGTTGAACCTAATTCATTATAATTATTGGATTGAAAGTGAGTTCTATATAATATTGAAACTCACAAATATGAAAGGAAAGAAATGAAATTAATCATTATAAAGCCACGTATTTTTCTCCAAGTTTTCTTTAAAAAAATAGCCCTAGACTTAAACAACAAAAATTATGATTAAATTGAGGGATTGAATGATGTGATAGTGCTAACTAATCCAAATAGGATAGAAATCAAATTCGATCAAAATTAAGATTTTGCTTAGTTAGCACAACCATATCATTTGGTCCCTAAATAACAAAATTGGTAATTTTTAATTCCCTAAATATTCTTTTGATTTAGACACAATGGGTCAATTCTTACTTATTCCTCTAATATATTTGAAAAAAAGGTCAATCCTTGCAACATAAAAGAACTTATTTCTCAAATGTATGTGGAAAAACCATATATATAATTAGTAGTTGTCCAAGAGTTAAAAGAAATCAACTATCAATTCAATAAATATAATATATTAGATTTTTAACTTAAATTCTCAATTTAGGTACAAATAGAATTATATAAGGAGCATTACTTTATTTTTGATATTACGGCCAAGAGTTTTCGGACCCATTTACGTACACATTAACTAATTCCCTCCCTGATTCGGTTAAAGACAAGTCATACACTTTGAGACTAGGAACTTCACGAAGAATTATTCCACAAAGTTTAGCCCCAAGGGAGTTGCCAAGTTTTAAATTCATAACGTCTAGATTTAGAGCTTCTCCATATTTTTATGAGAAGCATTACTCTTCTATAAGAGGCCTCTCTGCATTTGGTTCTCATCCTCGTGAGCCACAAAAATCGTCCACATATGTCATCTTCTTAAACACCTATATCTAATGCTTCCGCCATTTCTCCCTCTCTCTCTCTCTATCTCTAAAATCTGTAGATTGTGGACAGATCTAAAAATATAATCATTGTTTTGGTCTGTTCTCTTGAGGAGTTCCTATTTCACTCTCTTTGTTATTAGAATTTCTAAACCTGTCATACGTACGTGCACAAGGAGACGGAGATGGAGCTTCAACATTTCAGCCATGGGCATCCACTGATCCCCATGGAAGTGCCAAAGGAGGCCGAGTTACCTGTTGTGACGGGTGTCTTGAAACCGACCTTAGGTGCTGCATATAGTTGTACGGTTATTTCTGAATATGGTACAGAATGTTATTTCTTTCTTCACAAAAGATGTGCAGAACTCCCCGACGAGATCGAAAACCTCTTACACCACCCCCATGTGCTATCCCTTCGCAAAGATAAGGTTGGTTGGGATGAACCGGATCAATGTGATGTTTGTAGAAAATATTGTGGTGAGTTCTACTACGGGTGTAACATTTGCACATTTCAAATCTGCCTTTCATGTTGCTTAGAGGAATCGAATGTGACGGTTACACACGAAAGTCACCATCACCCATTAACCCTCCTCTCTAAGGAAGCCTCTTTCTATGGCAATATTTGTGGCACCGAAGATAAAGACTTCTCGTATTTATGTTACGCCTGTCAATTTTTGATCCATAAGAGTTGTGCAAGGCTCCCCAACACTGTCCATTCTATTGATCACAGTCACCCTCTCACCATCGTCAAACAGACTACATTTAAATTGTCAAAATTCAGGCCATGGTACCAATGTAGCTTATGTGATAAGTTCTTAATTCGAAATATTTGGGCTTATAAATGTGACCGGTGCGGATTATATTATGCCCATGTCAAGTGTGCAACCTCAGGGCAAGTTTCACTGTGAATTTAATCATTCATTACTTTTGTTATTAATAAGTAGAATTTTCCCTTCTTTCCTCTTTCCCCGAAAAAGATTTCACTGTGAGCAGAATATCCTCTTTCCTCTCCTTCCCCAAAAATATCTTGCATTACTTTTGTTTTTATTAAGTAGCATTTTTCTCTTAAAATTGCGTGTTTTCAAAATGGGTAAAACTAACAATGAAAGTGGTAACATGTTTGAGTTTGACTGCGTAACTTCTGAGAATGAATTTAGTGAACCTGTTGGCGTTATTAAGCTAAGCGTGTTGGGGAAAATAGGCTTCCCACAAGTGTAAATCAATGAAAGCAATATAAATAAAATAACAGAAAATAAATAAGCACACAAGATTTACGTGGTTCCCTCAAATAACTTGAGGTACATCCACGACGATCGGTAGGTCAGTTTCTTCCACTATCACCAAATCAGATTACAAAGTAGCCAAAAGGCATAAGCCTTACAAACACACCAAGGTGTAAATCACAAGAGAAAAATACCTCACAAAATAAGTAAACCAAATCTCCAAGAACAAACCGCAAGAAACTCAAATATCAAATGAAGAAATGTTACCCACTTGAAGAACAAATTTGCAGATTTTTGTGGCACCAAAAATGGAGAAGAAGAAAGCTGAATTTTCTGTTGAACCAAAGACTACCCAAGAAATCTTCTTGCCAAGCCAACCGAGAAGAGAGAAAACCAAGGAAATGACAAAAACTTGTAACCTTATTTGGCTGCTCAAATTGCTTTAACGTGAAAACTCAAACCAAGCCTTGAATATGCCAAGAGTCATGCATGGGAAAGCCACCAAATTAAAATCCATGTGCTTACCAAGGTGCATGCCAAAATTAACAAAACTATATTTAACAAATTGATAAGTCTCACAAAGGAGGGAAACCCAACAAAGCGTACCTCCAACCGATGGTTCTACGGTTCGTATGAGAGATTTAGTTGAACAAAACATCACTCAACAGACAAGAGGAGAAACAAAGATCATCCATTGGTACCCGATAATTCACCCCAAACACTGTACAACTCATTTGTGACGGTAAATTCTATGATCTTCACGAGTGCACGACCTGTTTGTCATACACCAACAGATTCTTCTACAAGTGCTGTGAAGATGAAGGATGTGCTGTCCGCCTTAATGTCAGATGTGCTTTCATGCCCGGTAGAATTGCACATGAAGCTCACGAGCATCCCTTGTTTCAAATTGAATCACGTGATTACAAGTGCAGTGCATGTGCTGTCTATTATCCTGATGTCAAATTCCAATGTCATTCATGCAAGTTCGTCGTATGCCAAAAATGTGCTCTGCTTCCGCATACCATCAAGCATAGATGGGACCCGCATCCCTTCACCCTTACCTATCCCCCTTTCAATGATCTTGCGGATTTATTCTATTGTGAATTTTTGTGAGGAAAAAATAAACCAAAAGCTTTGGACGTACCATTGTCGTATTTGCGCTCAATCGTCTCATCTTTTCTGTTTTTATGATGCATATTCAAATGTCAAGTTTGGGAGTACCATTCAAGTCAACGATTGTCCACACCCTCTCATGTTTGTTCGAAAGTCGAAGAAGGACGAGTGCTTTACCTGTGGTGTAAGTTATAGTTTTTGTCCCTGTTTTCGATGTCAAGAGTGTGATTATGCGATTTGTAAATATTGTATTAAGTTATAATTTAAATTCTACTTTTGTTAAGAATTGTAATGGTTGAACATGAAAGAATACTATTGATTGGAGAATATTTGGGGGAATATCTATTAATATATGTTTGAATAATTTTTAAAAATATGGTTTTAAGTGATAATATGGTTTTAAAGTTTGTCGAAAGTAGATGTGACTATTTTCAACCGATTTCAAATACTATGAAAAATTCAGCTTAGCACTTATGTAGAATAATACTCCAAAAACTATACTAATATCGTCTATCAAATCTAAGAGCAAATCAAAATAGATTATTGCAATATAATACAATTAGAAGATCCTCCAATTATTTTGTTATTAGAGGGGAGCCTAACCCATATTCTATCTAGTCAAAATAGAGAACTCATATTCTATTTTGGAAATGAAATTTTAGGGATCGACTCACCAAAATGAAAAATGAAGTGGCAACACTCCTATACCCACATCATTGTTAGACAAATATAGCAAAGAGTTATTAGTCAATATGCCTAGAACAAAAGAGCTAAATACTTAGATCATTCCTTAACCACAAAAAATGAAAAAAAAAAAAAGAGAAATGATCAAAGTTCAAACCCATTTGAAACAAAGAAAGTCAGGACCAGACCCATTTCCACCACCCATCTGACGCTCTAATTGTTTCACTATGTATTCTTTTGCTCTGCCAATTTTCTTCTTTGTTGCTCCATGAGAACAGAGAAAATTTCTATGTGAAATCCACAAATTTGGGGAAACCTCATTCACATATGGAGATCAGGAAGCATTCGAATGTTGGAAAATCTTATGTTGTACCCTTTCCAGTTCGCAGTTTATCCTCTTGTCGACAAGCAATGTACACGCAAGGAGCCAGTATTGCATCCTGGTTTCTTCCTCCAATAGATTTTTGATCTTTCACCTTCTTGTATATTAGCTCGATCCTTTAAATCAAACGACAAAAGCACCGTGAAGGAAGGTAGAACAATCACCGAAGGCATCACATAAAAACATAAAGAGGAAACTAAAAAACCATGAAATCCAACTATTATGTGGCACTTTGTGAGAGAAATATAAGGCACAGAACCCTTACATTGGATAGTAATCTCTGAAGACGGTTAATCAAAGAAGCATAAGTTATGGGGCAGTTTGCATTCAGTAACACGAGATGGTCACAAACAAAGAATATATTTTTAGGAATATGTTTTGAGGAATTTGAAAGAACCATTAGGAAACTTACAGCGCGGCTGTGGTGCTGGGAGTCCTGCACAAGCATCTGGGATAGCACTCAGCAGCTAAGTAAATGTAATTTGTAAAAATTCTTGCCTCCAAAAATTGGAAAAACTTGTTTCTTATCACAAATTTCTTGTGCACAAAAAATAGATGAATCAGATCACCTGGCAAACATTGCATAATATGACGGCCTTTTGTTCCTCCTTTTTACACCACATACGTAGAACTACGATACACATAAATTGACATCAGATACATATGGGACATGACATAGACACGTCAACATGACAAATTTTGGGAAAAGTAGGGCACTGAAATAGCTAGAACACACCATAAACAGTATTGAAAATTATATATATATATATATATATATATGAATAATAGTATTGGACAAAATATGAAAATCAGTACTTTATGAATTGTGATATATTTTAATAAGTTTTTTAGTAAAAACTCTTTAACACCCATAGGCAAATTTTTCAGCTTTGTTAATTACATTTCAACAAATGTTTATTTTTTAGTCAAATACCCGGACTAAACAAGTATTGAACACAGGGAGTATTGGACACGTGGCCGCAGAGAAGATTCTATTTTCTTAACTATGAATATGGATAAAAGAATATTAAACATGTGTCCAAGAAATGTTAGTAGCCGATATGTGTCCAACATGGGTATGTCACATTCTTAAGAGTGTCTATGTTTTCTTACTTCTAAAAGATGCACAATCGAGCAAATATACACTATCCCTTACCCTTCTACCATCTATATTTAATTTGGTGCATTTGCTTTAGTGGTCGCTGACTCGCTATTAATAAGCTTTATCCTTACAAGTAGACTTGTTTGTCGCATTGTTTATAGAGATATGCATGAACTTCTACATATAGGCAGTAGATATTTATTAAGGGCAAGTATGATGTCATTATCGATACGTTTTCTTTTGTACCACAATGTATTGTATGATACGAATCGTACGATATTAACAATCATATTTGCAACAACGTCGCAGAAGGATTTCTCAATTTTCATCAATTTGCCTTGCCATGAGGTGCAAATTATAAGCAGTATGCTCTTCACCTTCGATGTCTGTTGGATCCTGAATCTGGGCACTGAGGTAGTGGATTGACTACTATCCGTGTAAGTAGGCTTCACAAGCATTTACATGTTTCAACCATAATATCAATTGTATCACCATTGGAATTTAAGCAATATTAGCTGATTTCACAATTCTAGAACCAGACTTTCCCAATGTTGAGGACTGGAATACCCTTCACCACATGAAGTGAAAGAACAAATTGATCAACTGCCTTTCATCCAAATATAATTTCATCGCTCAATTTTTTCTTCAAGTAAATAGTTAATGCCATTAGGGATTGTCAAAAAACCAACAAAGAAGAAAATCTGAATTTGACATCTATTACTCTCCAAATATCAGAACAACAAAAACAAGAAAAAGCTCAATCCCAGTCTCAGTCCAGTAAAAAGTCTCATTTTTCCTGTACCCAGATACAATACAGTATTCAAGATTCTATAACTCATTCACTTTCCTTCCATTTTCCCAGACTTTCTCACCAACTAGACAAACACATATCACAAATCTCACAACACATTGAGAGAGAGAGAGACACAGAGGTAAACAGACCTATCGATCAGTCATGGTGGCATTGGTTTTGAAAGCCAAAATAGGGATGGATAGGGATTGGAGCCACGGTTCTGCCATCGACCCAATAAGCAATGAAGACAACCAGAAGTTAATAGCCATCCCATTGGGCTTCAAAATCACCTGGAGAGCCCACCATCCGTCAACAAACAATGGATTAGTCGGGCCCAACCTACTCGCACTGTATTGGAGAGAATTGATGAATATGAATAATGGAGAAGATTTGATTCCAGTACACTCCTATGTGAAGAAGTGAATACTTATTTGCTTATTGGTGATACTATATATCTTATAATTAAAATAAAAAATAAACAAGAAAAATAATCGAACAAGGAACAAACTGGGTCTAATTTTTCTTCAATTTTTATTGAGAATAGCATTGTTGTACCCATAAAAATTGGCACGGAAATTATTATTATTGATGATCAAGTTATCCCTTAAAGTTAGAATTGTTCGTGAATATTTATATTTAATTATAAATTTTGATCGCTCATGAATAAACCCTATTAATTATTTTTTCCACCACACCCTAAAAGTATTTGAAAATTAATAGATGACTAGAAGTGTCACAAAGGTGAGATTGTTTTTGGAGTTCTACATCGACCAAAGCTTCTACAACATTGGGTTGAGAGAAAGATGAGAATCATCTGAAATTTAGCAGGTTGAGTTAGAGATTGAGAGAACCTGTGATTTAAAATTTGTTATGGAGAGCTTATAAAGAGAGAGAGGAGAAAGTGGGGAGCAATAGAAGGGGTGGGAAGTTATGATGTGATAAGTGTTAATTTTATTTTTAAATTGAGTGAGTTTGTTGGAGGAAGTTAATGCTTTTTTAATTCAAACATTGTAACTTTTAACATAGTATCGGATATAATTCAAACATTGTAACTTTTAACATAGTATCGGATAAAATATTTCTTTCACAAAGAGAGATCTCTTCCAATAAAATTTTTCTTCAATTCTCTTTTTGACGGATCACAAATCATTTATTCAAGTAGGACCCATTATATTCAAATAAGTCCCTCACTCATTAATAATGAAAGATTATTCAAGAAGAAATCTTGGTCTTGAGGTTTCTTTCCTTGTTGAGTGGTCAAAGCTAGGGGTATATATATAGAGGAGAGGTGGAGCCAAGAAATTGCAATTGCTTATCATTAATTTATTAAATCATAAAAATTGACAAATAAACTTTTATGAATTTTAAGTTGACACTGTCAATGATTGAAATTGATCGCAATTGGTAAAATTTAAATTTTAACTTATCTAAATCGAAGATGCTAGATAGTTGGAGTGCTAAAAAATTCATGCCCGAACTTATATTTTTCTTTGTTACTATTTGATTGTCATGTTAGTAAGTAGAACTTGCCTTTTACAAAGATAGAGATTTATAAAGATGGGTTTTAGAGATCTTAAGGCTTTTAATTTGGCGATGCTAGCGAAACAAGCTTGGAGAATAAATATAGAGGTTAATTCACTTATTCATCAAGTGCTTAAGGCAAGGTACTTCCCTTCGACATCTTTCATAGAGGCAGAGATTGGGCATAGACCTTCTTACACATGGAGAAGCATTTTAGGAGCAAGGAAAGTTGTGGAAGCAGGCTCAAAATGACGAATAGGTAACGGATTCAAAGTCAATATCTGGTTGGATAGGTGGATCCCTACTCCTGTAAGTTTCAAGTCAGTTTCTCCTAAAAGGGGTCTACATACTCCAACTAAGGTTAGGGATCTTATTAACGAGCAAACACGAAGCTGGAATGAGCAGCTAGTGGATGAAATTTTCGTGCCTCGTGAGGTGTTGGTGATCAAAGGTTTTCCAATTAGTCGATTTCCAATGGAGGATCAACTGATTTGACATTATAATTCAAATGGAAGGTTCTCGTTACGTAGTGCTTACCGCATTATTGTGGATCAAAAGCTACTGCATGCAGGCCCAACCAATTCATCTCCCTCCTCTAGCGCTGGACATCTGGACTGGAATTTTATTTGGAACCAGAAAATACCAAATAAAATTAAGATCTTTGCCCGGCGGATCTGTTCCAACACACTACCAACAGTGGACAATCTTCGGAGAAGGAGAATTACGGTGAATAGGTGTGTTAAGAAGAAGAGGGTCATTGTTACACTACCTAAGGGACTGCACTTGGGCCTAGGCAGTGTGGAGTTGTAGTCTTTAAAGGTAGTAGTCCAAATTATGTCTTCTCACCCTGGGTAGTGGTTGCGCGAAGTCCATCAGGGCCTTACATCTGATGAGTTCTCGTTGTTCCTTATTCAGTGTTGGTTTATGTGGAGAAATAGAAACATTCGAATTTATGAAAATATGGTTCAAGACCCTATTGAAGTGCAGATGAAGGCAGCTGAATATTACAGTCAGTATAGGGAGGCAGTAGCTCAGCCCCTTGCCGAGCAAACTCCCAACGATGGCTGATGTCCTCCAAGGGTAGGTGCCTTCAAAGTTAATTTCGATGCCACTATATTCGTAGATCAAGATGTCTTAGGAGTGGAAGTAGTCATACAAGATGATCGGGGTTACTTTGCAGGGGGCCTTGTCCAAAAGGATTGCTATGAGTTGTGATATTCGTAAAACAGAAACTATTGTAGCAAAAATTGCGATCCAATTTGCAAGGCAGCAAGAATTAGTAGAAGTCATTTTGAAAAGGGATTCGATAAGTGTTATGCAATCTATAAGGAATGGTGACAGAGATTATGATTCTCTTGAAGCCATCTTACAAGATATTAGCAACATAGTAAGGAGTTTTCGCTACTATGAAGTGTCCAGAGTTCGACGCAATGAGAATAAAGTAGTTCATGAGTTAGCTCGTTTTACTATACCATTAAATAGTAGCGTCGTATGGCTGGAGCAGGCACCAAACTTTGATATGCCTCTCCTTTTGATGACATTCCTTAGTAATAAATTCCTATCGTTGCTTCTCAAAAAAAAAAAAAAAAAAAGATTCATTACCTAAGCAACTCCTACCTTTCAATGTGCGAATGAATTTACTTTTTTTATTAACTTACCAAGAGACTACTAATGCCATTCACAAATGGGCTGTGTTAGTTTCCTAAGGTGTTATTGGGTGTTTTGAAATCATTCCCACTGTAGTTTACTATATGGTGAGAAAATGCAAGTATAAAACTGATTTCTTGGTGATTTGGGACCATCTGTTGACCCCAAAAATGTGCCTTGATATTTTACTAAATATATTCTAAGAGATGCCTCAAGAATCTCATATTCAGAGCCCATCTAGCATTGAGTATGAAACATGCTCAATTTGGGGGGTTCTGAAGAGATCATTGAATCCCAAACAACTATTGACCTCTGCATATATAAAGAAATATGGGATACAATGAGGTACTTCCTTATACAAGTTTTATATGGAGGTACTTCCTCACAAATAAGTAGGAAATGTTCCCCTCTTTTTGAAATTGCTGCAAGAGGTTTTTTGGGCCAATGAATGAGGGTATTGCGGTCCCGAGCTAAAAACTCCTCTAATATATTTAACATCAATGTTTTTTCATGTTCATATCACTAAGCATATAGAGCTAATCTCACTTTGTCTCCCGAAAGATACTTCGATTTTTAATTTATACCCTCAAACATTAAAAATTTAAATTTGCACCCTCAATGTTAGAAATTGGAAGTAATGTAAACTTCGCTCATACTGCCGTTTAGTTTTTCATCATAAATTGAAGTACATGAGTTTCAAGCATTTTGAGTTTAAGGATGAAGTGTATCCATAGATGCAAATTCTCATTTGCGATCAATTTGACACCATTTTTATATTTCAAAAATAAGGTTTCATTAATTAAATAGTGACTAAGTCTATTATGTGCAACTTATACGAGGTATCAACAGTCTATGAATTTATACATAAGCTCATCGCCGAAGTACTTGCAACTCACGTACTTGAATTTATGACAAAAAACTGAACAGTAGTCTGGACAAAATTCACATTACTACCAATAATTCACATTACTACCAATTCATAATATTAACGTTACAAATTAAGAATCAAAATATGTTTCAAAATACAAAATGACATTAGCTAGCCCCAAGTACTTGATCTCTTCTCAAGGACCACACCATATATAATTAGATCTCGAATCAAGTCATCAGATTCAGTAATTCAATGATGAAGTATTTTCGAGTCGAGGGATCAACCAACCCTATATAATAATACTAAAGCCCTTACCAAAAGTAATAAGTAACTAGACAAAGAGTGGTTAAATAAAGAAATCGATCGAAGGCAAAAGACACTGGAAAACAACTAACTAATAAGACAATGTATGAAGAGTGTGGCTCTTTTTATAAAAATTTAAGTTATATTTGTAATTAAACTGAATAATTAATTTATATTTTAATTATTGCTAAACTTATTTATTGATCTATTCTACTTGGTACTTTCTTTTTTGATCCAATTCTACTTAGCACTTAATTCGTCATTTTTTGGGTATTTGCTAGCCCTTTTAGACTTTTTCTTTTTATATATATACTAGTTATTTTTATATATATACTAGTTATTGCATGTGCCTGAAGGCACAGACTAATAAAAAATGATAAACAATAAATATATTTATATTCATAACCAAAATCAAATCACAAATATAAAAAAGAGATAAAAGAATTTAAACATCGGTTTGTAGTGGAGGTGAGAGATGGTGGGCGACAGTGGTGGTAATAGGAGACAGTGATGGTTATGGTGTGTAGCAATGATCGTGGTAGCGGTGGTGGCGGTGGCGACAGCAATAGTGGTGGTGGCGGCAGTGGTGGTGATAGCGACGGTGACAGTGGTGGTGGCGGTGACGGCGACAGTGACATTGGTGGTGGCGGTGGAGGCGAGGGGCAATGGGGGCGGGGGGGCAGGGGCGGTGGTGGGAGTAGTGGCGGTAGAGGTAGAGGTAGTGATGGGGGTGGTGGTGGTGATGGTGGTAGAAGTAGTGGTAGAGTGGTTTCAAACACTATTTTTAAAAAAAAATATTTATGAGAAATAATTTTTAAAAATAATTTTAAAAAATCACTCTAAACACACAATTAGGAGCCTATTGTTCCTATTAACTTTTGAGTGTTAACATTAGCTGTTAGATTAACTTTAAAGTAAAATTTAAAGCGATCTCAACAGCGAATAGCAAAAATTATTTTATTTATTTTTTAATATTTGAATTATAAATTACTTTATTATATAAATATATAGAATTTCATTGTATCATGACCATTCTTCAGTATTTGGACATCTATTATTAAGATAGATTTATTACTATTTTTTTTTTCCAAACAGATTGATTAGATTATAATACTAGTTTTGTATTATAATATTATTAGATACTAAAAAAATAAATATGATATATATTTGACCGTAGAATTCAATCTGACAATTAGATGTATATAATAATAGAACAAGTGGGTTACCAATATTATTGGTGGTGTTTCCACGATGACCATCCATTTTCTACAATCGTCTATATCCCAAAATTGTCTACTTGAAGAATCGAGCTTCTCTCTCAATTTCTGAGATATGGTTCCTAAAGATTACTTTATCACCGTGATCCATAGTGCATGACTTGAGCAACCTTTTCCTAGTAGCGAATTGAATCAACTTGAATTTGATTTGTTTTTGACAAACTTCTGCAATTTAAATTATACCCACCCTGAAGATATTTTTATTTACAAATAATTATTCTTAAACGGCAGATTTTTTAACTATTATTATTTTTTAAATTTTCAAAATATATTGGGATAGTATACGTTTCCAAATTATGTATTTTTTATTTTCTATAATTTTTTTATATAATCCACTGTTTTTATTATGTTAGGAGTATGGTAAGATGGAACTGCCATTATCATGTTTTAAATAGTATTTATTTAGTTTGTAATGTTATGTTTAATTTTGTAATATGAATGAATTTTAATCTGACTCGTCCACCAAGCTTGACGATCTCGAACTAAATTATATTGGTCATCTATATAAAAACATACAGTTTAGAACGGTCTATACAACTTCATCAAAGATTATCGTGATAATATACTGACAAATGTCATTAAGAAGAACACCAGATTTTCCATAGAATTTAATATTTTTTTTTTCAAGTAAGCAGATTGTTAAAATTAAAAATAAAAATCATACCTAAAACAATGGGTTCATTATTTCAGTCCCGTTGAAACTAGCTGTGACAGTTTTTTGTTTTTGTGGTACTTACCTGGTTATTGATGTTGGTTCAGATGCGAAAGGTTACTTAGAACGTGAGTTCGAAGTGTGAATATAATTTAAATCGTATACATGATATAAATTATTTACATATATAGGGCCAGATCTTAGAAAAAAATCGAACTCAAGAAAATCCTTCTCCATCTGTCCTGTCTCATCTCATCCTATGGTATACCGGTCCACTTCATGGGCCCCACCACCCACAACTGCCAAGCAAATCTTCGCGTCCATGGTTAGGATCCTCTCGCCACCACCAATATCCACTTCAATGACATTCCAACCCCTTCGTTTCCCTGCCCCCCTCCCGACCCTAATGCCTACTTCCCATCACATATCGTGCAATTACTAAAAGCTTCATTGAACCTTCGTGAGTCTATTGGCACACTTCCATGCACAGTCTCAGCAGCAACTAAAAGAGTCATCGTCATTCATGACTCTCTAATAGCGTCAGTTGTTTAAAGACATGCCTTCAATAACAATTGCAGATTCATATAGTTTTCGAAGTATCTCTACTTTTGCTATCTCTTTGTTTCACTGGGCAAAGCGAAAAACTGTTCTTATTGAAGTTGAAATTCTAAAACAGACTTCGTCCGCCCAAAGTTGTTTGACATCAGAGTTCATGGAACTTTAGGGAGTGAGGCTTATGTGTGAGTGTGTGTGAGAAAGATAGAGAGAGGAGAAACGTGCTTAACGTTGAGAGTGACGTAAGGGGTATAGAACATCAAACTAGAGGGCTTGGAGCACGTTTTAATGTGAGACCATTTTTTAATGATATATATGCTTAAAAAATAAACTTAAAAATTAGACTTGATAATCTCAACCATCGAATATGTAGTGGGTCATAATAAATACTGGGACCCACAGTGAAATCAATGGTTAAAATTATTAAGTTTAATTTTTTAAATCTACTTTTTAAATCCATATAACATTACTCTTTTGAAAATACAAAATGGACATTAGTGGGCCTAATGCTTTAAGTGGATTAGTTTGTTAGAGTCATAGGTAACAACTTTGGGTTTTTTGCATTCAACCCAATAACAATTGTGTATATGGATTTAAGGTTAATTTGACGCCACAATATATATACAAAATTTGGGGGCTAGCCAGTCACCTAAGTGGCCTACGCTTAGGGCTGACACTAGTTAGAAATTACAAATGCTACATTTATATAATAAAATATGAGTGTATTTTAATTTTATTTCAGTCATATTTTTTCCTTAAAAACCATCATCAATTACTTACCTCATCAATCATCCCTTTGTCAGACTCAAACGTCAAATCGCATCACTTATTTATATCATATGTTTAATCATTTATATATTTCTTCTTAAAAATATCAAATCACTCATTTCTATCATATATTTAATTATTTAATATTTGATTAATTTATAGTTAATATATTTTGAAAAAAATTAATATAATGTGATCAATTTTTTGGACACTCAAATTTTATATTTTATTGTGCTTTCAGGCACGGGTCATGACGATCAAAGTCTAATACACTTACGCACAATATATATATATATAATAAAATAGAAGTTTGTTTGAATTTTATTCCAGTCATATTTTCTCTCTCAAAACCATCACCAATCACTTATCTCACCCATTATCTCTTTGTCAAATTCAAACGTCAAATCACATCACTTATTTCTATCACATGTTTAATTATTTATATATTTTCTTCCTAAAAATATTACATCACTCATTTCTATCATATATTTAATCATTTAATATTTAGTTAATTTGTAGTTTATATATTTTTAAAAAATTTAATATAGTTTGATTGATTTTTTAGACGCTTGAATTTTATATTTTATTGTGCCTTCAGGCACGGGTTATGACTAGTTGATATATATGGGATCTTTGATATCATCTTCTAATAAATTTTTTCTTCTTCTTCTTCTTTTTTTTTTTTTTTTGGTGGCAGTCATAAATCCCGACTCTATGTTATAGTTTTTTTATTTTACTAATTGCCAATAAAGAAAAGGATGTGTTTGCTTTTCATGATGCAAGATCACATACTAAAATGGTTGCTGGTTCGATCATGACAGAACGAACTCCTTGTCTCAGTTGAGTACATTCGATAAGGACTATGCATAAATTGGCTCAATAGAACATGGTATGTTTGGTGGAAAACAGTCCTGAGCAAGGATGTGTGTTTCGAGCAGAGTCTGACAAAGCGTGCTCAGAAGGAGGGCTTACGAGACAAGAATAGAGTTCAATTTTATCCTTTAAAGATCAAGTCTTATTTGAATAAAAGATAGTTATGCTATTCCTAGAAACCCAAACTAGTTAATGGGATGAAGCCTAGGCAATTGAATGATAAAACAGAACGGATAGAAGCAAGGCCATCCTGAAAAAATTAGAAGCCACGATGGACTATCAATAAGAAAATTACCTAAATCATAGGAGCGCAATAAAAACATATGGCCTAAATAATCGATGAGCAATAAATGAAGTTTGATAAGGTTCCTCTATGATTCAAGGAAGATTTGGCTAAAAAATAGGCGTGACACCTTGTACAGCTAATGATGAAAACCTTAGAAGAGGATACAGACTATTATATTTCCTGCAATCTCCCCCTCCCCCCCAAAAACAAAAAAACACCCTATTCGTAGATTCCTAATTAGGCTTTGGTGTCAATATTTTAAATTCGAATAGCATTTCTCTGATGATTAGACTTATAGTGAAAACTTTGTTTATGATGTTGCACACTTGACATGGGCAAAATATTTTCATGGGCCACGGTCATAAGCCCAAGTGTTTTAGATAATGAGCTCGCGACATATAAGACACCGAGTCCACTTCTCGAAATCTTTTAAGTTAAATGCAGTCTGCTTGAGCAGAGTAAGAGACGGAAGGTAATCACTAAAATAGGAGAGGTAGGTAACATAGCGTAAATCTTTATGGATCCAAAATTGACAGATATAACAGAAATAGGAGAAATCATCTTTTCCTTTGGTGCCGCAAATATTACACAAGAACAAGAAGGCTTCCTTAGAAGTCACCACTAAAGGTGGAGATGCTTCTAGGAAAGATCCAAAAGAGAACAAGAGAGGCCCGCATAGAGAATAGAATAAAGGAAATTAAAAACAGAGGCAAAGTATAGATCAATCCTTTCCTTTGACAACCTCAACACGCATTTTGTTACTTTTTTTTGCTCTGTCAAAGACTAAAGGATCAATTCATTCAATTATAAGCAATGGTATCTATCTTCACTACTTTATTCCATGTCTAGTTTTATCTTTCTCTTTCCTACCATTGTTTGTCTTAAGATATTTTGGTTATACATTTTTTATTAATCTAATTATTCATAATTACTGTATTGACAGTGGGATATCTTTCAATATTCGTTGAAATTCACTACTAATTCAATAATTGTAATAGATGATAGCCCAAGTAGACAAGGCCTTTCCTTGTTTCCTGCACCCACTCCTTAAATTGCTTAGTTTTTAGAAGAATTTGTATTATCCAAAAACGAAACATTTTTTCCAGGTTGTTGAAGTGTAATTTTAAGAGTGAGATATGAAAATAGTTAAATTAAATTAAACACTTATTACAATTCTTTTATAACACCCAAACACATCAAAGAGGAATAACGTAAAAACAATTGCAGGTGGAGATGCTTCTAGAAAACTTCCAAAAAGAGAACAACAGAGGTTTGCATAGTGTAAAGAATAAAACAATCCAAGACAGAAGCAAAACAGATCAATCAATTCAATTATAAGCAATTATACTTTATTTCACGTCATTTTTTATCTCTCTTCCCCCAACATTTCTGAATCAATTATAAGAATATAGTACTTTGCAAACATACTTATCGATCTATGATAGTTTTGAACTTATCTAAAAAATTCAATGATAACTTTAATTCTAGTTGGACTTAATTCATTATAATCATTGGATTGAAAGTGAATTCTATATAATATTGAAACTCATAACTAATCCAGTGATTATATTGAACTAAGTATCTAAATTAAGTCCCTAAAATATTAATTGGAAAGAAAAAATTATAGAATCTTATAATAGATAAAGTGTCACTAGCCTTGTACAAAAACGAAAGGAAAGAAAACAACGTATTTTTCTCCAAGCATTCTTAAAAAGAATAACCTTAGACTTAGAACACAAAAATTACGGTTAAATTGAGGGATTGAACGATGTGACAGTACTCACTAATCTAAATAGGACTGAAATCAAATTCGATCAAAATTAAGATTTTGCTTAGTTAGCACAACCATATCAATTGGTCCTTAAATTTAATCTTATATTTTTTATCATTCTAGCATAAATCTTTTTAAGAAGAATTAATCAACTTGGCAAAACAAAATTGGTAATTTTTAATTCCCTAAATATTCTTTTGATTTAGAGATCAATGGGTCAATTCCTACGTATTCCTCTAATGTATTTGAAAAAGAGGTCAATCGATGCAACATAAAAGGACTGATTCCTCAAATGTATGTGGAAAAACCAAATATATAATTATTAGGGGTCCTAGAATTAAATGAAATCAACTATAAATTCAATAAATTTAACACATTAGATTTCAACTTAAATTCTTAATTTAGGTACAAATAGTATGATATAAGAAGCATTACTTTTTTTTATTTTTGATATTAAGATCAAGGGTGTTAAGCACACATTGACTAATTCCCTATCTGATTCGGTTAAAAACAAATCATTCATGTTGAGACTAGAGAATTCAGGAGGGATTATACTACATAGTCTGACCCCAAAGAATTTCTCAAATTTTAAATTTAAGACGTCTAAATTTATAACTCCTCCATATTTATACGAGGAGCATGACTCATATATAAGAGGCCTCTCTGCATTTTGTTCTCATCCCCGTGAACCACTAAAATAGCCCACATATGTCATCTTCTTAAACACCCACATCTAAAGCTTCCGCCATTTCTCTCTCACTCTCTCTATCTCTAAAATCTGTAGATTGTGGACAGATCCAAAAATATAATCATTGTTTTGGCCTCTTCTATTGAGGAGTTCCTATTTCACTCTCTTTGTTGTTAGAATTTCTAAACCTGTCACCCCTCTCTCTCTCTCATACGTACGTGCACAAGGAGACGGAGATGGAGCTTCCACATTTCAGCCATGAGCATCGACTGATCCCCATGGAAGTGCGAAAGGAAAAAGGAGGCCGAGTTACCTGCTGTGTCGGTTGTCTGAAACCGATCTTAGGTGCTGCATATAGTTGTACTGTTATTTCTAACACCTCTAAGAGAGCATGTTATTTCTTTCTTCACAAAAGATGTGCAGAACTTCCCGAGGAGATTGAAAACCCCTTGCACCAGCACCATGTGCTATCCCTTCGCAAAGATAAGGGAGGTATGTATGATGCGGATCAATGTGATGTTTGTAGAAAGTATTGTGGTGAGTTCTACTGCGGCTGTAACATTTGCACATTTAGAATCTGCCTTTCTTGTTGCTCAGACGAGTCAAATGTGACGATTATACACGAAAGTCACCATCACCCATTAACCCTCCTCCTTATGGAAACCTCTTTCTATTGCAATATTTGTGGCACCGAAGATAAAGACTTGTCGTATCTATGTTACACCTGTCAATTTTCGATCCATAAGAGTTGTGCAAGGCTCCCTAACACTGCCCATTCTATTGATCACCGTCTACCTCTCACCCTCGTCAAGCACACTACATTTAAATTGTCAAAATTCAGGTCAAGGGACAATTGTAGCTTATGTGATGAGATCTTAATCCGAAATATTTGGGGTTATATATGTGACAAGTGTGGTTATTTTGCCCACGTTAAGTATGCAACCTCAAAGCAGATTTCACTGTGAGTATAATAATTCATTACTTCTGTTATTAATAAGTAGAATTTTTCCCTCTTTCCTCTTTCTTTTTTCTCCGAAAAAGATTTCACTGTGAGCAGAATATCCTCTTTCCTCTCTTTCCCCAAAAATATCTTGCATTACTTTTGTTTTTTATTAAGTAGCATTGTTCTCTTAAAATTGTGTGTTTTTAAAATGGGTAAAACTAACAATGAAAGTGGTAACATGTTTGAGTTTGGCAGAGTAACTTCTGAGAATGAAACTGGTGAACCTGTTGGCGTTATTAAGCTAAGCTTACCTCCAACCGATGGTTCTATTATTCTCATGAGAGATTTAGTTGAACAAAATAGCATTGAACAGACAGGAGGAAAAACGAAGATTATCCATTGGAGTCATGAGCAGCATCCGTTAATCCTTTTCGATGTTCAAAATTGCCATGAGATGAAGGATGACACAATATTATGCGATTGTTGCGCTCAAACAATATCGCTTCCATTTTACTGTTGTGAAGAGTGCAATCATTTTCTCCACTTATATTGTGCCAACTTACCAAGAGAGTTGAAATACACAATGATTCACCCCAAACACCGATTACAACTCATTTATGACAGTAACTTCTATGATCTTCACTGGTGCACGGCCTGTCATTCATACACCAACGGATTCTTCTACAAGTGTTGTGAAGATGAAGGATGTTATGTCCTCCTTGATGTCAGATGCGCTTTCATGCCCAGTAGAATTGCACATGAAGCTCACGAGCATCCCTTGTTTCAAATTGAATCGCATGATAAGTGCAGTGCATGTGCATACGCATCCCCTGATGCTAGTGTCAAATTCAAATGTCATACTTGCAAGTTCGTTCTAGCCCAACCATGTGCTCTGCTTCCGCATACCATCAAGCATAGATGGGACCCGCATCCCCTCACCCTTACCTATCCCCCTTTCAATGATCTTGCGGACGAATTCCATTGTGAATTTTGTGAGGAAGAAATAAACCAAAAGCTTTGGATGTATTATTGTCGTATTTGTGATCAATCTTTTCATCCTGGCTGCATTTGTAATAGATATTTAAATGTCAAGTTTGGGAGTACTGTTCAAGTCAACGAGCATCCACACCCTCTCATGTTTGTTCGAAAGCCGAAGAGGGGCAAGTGCTTTAGCTGTGGTGCACATTCTGATAGATCTCTCTTTTTCCAATGTCAAGAGTGTGATTATGCAATTTGTATGCGTTGTATTAAGTTGTAATTTAAATTCTACTTTTGTCAAGAATTGTATTGGTTGAGCATGAAAAAATACAATTGATGGGAGAATATTTGGGGAATACCTTTTAATATATGTTTGAATAATTTTTAAAATAAAGTTTTAGATGATAATATGGTTTTACAGTTTGTCAAAAGTAGATGTGACTATTATTTTCAACCGATTTCAAATACTGTGAAATTCAGCTTAGCACTTATGTAGAATAATGCTCCAAAAACTATACTACTATTGTCTATCAAGTCTAAGAGCAAAGAAAAATGGATTATTGCAATATAATACAATTAGAAGATTCTCCAATTATTTTGTTATTAGAGGGGAGCCTAACCCATATTTTCTCTAGTAAAAATAGAGAGCCTATTGCAGATGAATTTTTAGGGATCGACTCTCTAAAATGGAAAATGAGGTGGCAACACTCTTATACCCTCATCAAAGTCAAACAAATATAGCAAAGAGTAATTACTCAATATACCTAGAACAAAAGAGCTAAATACTCAGATCATACCTCAACCACAAAAAATGAAAAAATAGAGAAATGATCATTTCTGGCTTTGAAGAGAAGGGTAAAAACTCACATCAATGAAGCAATTATGGAGTAAGAGGCTGCCATATAATTTCAGAACTTGTTATTCGGATCTGACATAAATGCTTGGATCAAACTCTTCTGACATTTTGATAGCGTCTTGAGCAGCTTTAACTGTTTTGGTTGATCATCCTAGGATTCCGAAAAAAAAAAAAATCACCTCTAGAAGAAAAGATTCATGTCAGCGGATGAAGAACAAAAAATACATAAATAATATGAGGTGTGAAATGTTGGTTATACAATGGTAAAGAAGGTGGTTTATTTCACAACCCATCTGAAGCTCTAATTGTTTCACTATGTATTCTTTTGCTCGGCCAATTTCCTTCTTTGTTGCTCAATGGGAACAGAGCAAATTTCTATGTGAAATCCACCTAAAAAGTCATGAAATCCAACTATTATATGGCACTTTGTGAGGGAAATAACAGACACAGAACCCTTAAATTGGATAGGAATCTCTGAAGACAGTTAATCAAAGAGGCACAAGTTATGGGGCAGTTTGCAATCAGTAACACAAGACTATATTTTTGGTCACAAACAAAGAATATATTTTTGGGAATATGTTTTGAGGAATTCAAAAAATAGAAGCAACAATTTGAAGTTGAAAGAACCATTAGAAAACTTAAAGCACTACTGCAGTGCTGGAAGTCTTGAACAAGCATCTGGAACAGCAGCTAAGTAAATGTAATTTTTAAAAATTTTTGCCTCCAAAAATTGGAAAAACTTGTTTCTTCTCACCAATTTCTTGCGCACAAAATAAAGATGATTCAGATCACCAGGCAAACATTGCATCATATGACGGCTCTTTGTTTCTCCTTTTTACACCACATACTCTAGAACTGTGATACACATACATCGACATCAGATATACATGGGACATGACATAGACATGTCGACAAGACAAATTCTGAAAAAAGTAGGGCACTGAAACAGCTAGAACATGCCATAAACGATTGTATTTTGTGAATTGTGAAAAGTAAGTTTTAAGTCTAATACCCAAAATGCGAATATTAAGACTAATACACAGTGTGCAATAAACCTACCTAAATACAAGGATAGCTCTCTTCCCAGATCTTCTTACTTGGTAAAACTTTTATGCACCTTTTTATCTATATTAGAAAGTTTTAAGTAAAACTCTTTAACACCCATAGGCGAATTTTTTAGCTTTGTTGATTACATTTCGACAAATGTTTATTTTTCAGTTAAATACTTGGCCTAAACAAGTATTGAACACGGGGAGTACTGGACTTGTGTCTGCAGTGAAGATTCTATTTTTTTAACTATGAATATGGATGAAAGAATATTAAATATGTGTCCAAGAAATATTAGTGGCTGATATATGTCCAACATGGGTATGTCACAATCGAGCAAATATATACGTTGTCCTTAACCGTTCTACCATCTATATTTAATTTGGTGCATTTGCTTTAGTGGTCGCTACTCGCTATTAACAAGCTTTATCCTCACAGGTAGACTTGTTTATCGCATTGCTTTCAGTGATATGCAAGAACCTCAAAATATAGGCAGTAGATCTTTATTAAGGGCAAGTATGATGCCATTATCCATACGTTTTTCTTTTATACCACGATGTATTGTATGATACAGATCGTACGATATTAATAACCACGTCTGCAACAACGTTGTAGAAGGATTTTCCAATTTTCAGCAATTTGCCCTGCCGTAAGATGCAAAATATAAGTAGTATCCTCTTGACCTTGGTTGTCTGTTGGAGCCGGAATCTGGACACTGAGGTGGTGGACTGACTATTATCCGTGTAAGTAGGCTTCATAAGCATTTACATGTTTCAACCATAATATCAATCCTATCACCATTGAAATTTAGGCAATATCAACTGATGACACAATTCTAGAACCAGACTTTTCCACTGTTGAGGGGTGGAGTATTCTTCACCACTTGAAGTGAAAGAACAAATTGATCAACTGCCTTTCACCCAAATGTAATTTCATTGCTCAATTGTTTCTTCAAGTAAATAGCTACTGCCATCAGGGATTGTCACAAAACCAACAGAGTAGAAAATCTTACATCTATTACTCTCCAAATATTAGAACAACAAAAAGAGAAGCTCAAAACCCAGCTCAACCCCAGTCTAAGTCCAGTAAAGAGTCTCATTTTTCCCGTGCCCAGATACAATACAATATTCAAGATCCTATAACTCATTCACTTTCCTTCCATTTTCTCGGACTTTCTCACCAACTAGACAAACACATATCACAAATCTAACAATATACATATATATGCACCAACATATTGAGAGAGAGAGAGAGAGAGAGAGAGAGAGAAGTAAACAGACCTCTCAATCAGTCATGGTGGCATTGGTTTTGAAGGCCAGAATAGGGATGGATAGGGATTGAAGCCACAGTTCTGCCACCGACCCAGTGAGCAATGAAGATGACCAAAAGTTACTAGTCGTCCCATTGGGCTTCTAAATCACCCTGGAGAGCCCACCATCCGTCAACAAATAAGGGATTAGTCGGGCTGCACCTACTCGTATTCTATTAGAGCATCTTTAAACATGATTCAAATTTTTATTCAAATTTAAATTAATGTTTGAATAAAAAATTTGATTTGATATAAAAGATTATAATGGGCAAACTTAAATTTGAAGAAGGATAGATCCAAATTTAAATGAGGACAAATTCAAATTTAAAAGCGAGTAAGATAACCATTAGATCTTTAAAAGATAATAAAATCTCACCATTAAAAATTTGAGTAAAAATTTGAGTCTCACTTAATTTGAGTTAAAAAATGAGTTTTTCTTGATTTAGTATAAGTTTGAGTCAAAGGTTTGAGCAAGTCTTTTAGACTTTTTTACTCAAATTTAAATTTGAATCTAAATTTGAATAAGAGTTGGAAGTGCTCTTAGAAGAAATTGATGAATATGAATAATGGAGAAGATTTGAATCCAGCACACACTTATGCGAAGAAGTGAATACTTATTTGCTTATTGGTGATACTATGTTATAATTAAAATTCAAAATAGAAAATAGAAATAATCGGACAAGGAAAAAACTGGGTGTAATTTCTGTTCAATTTTTATTGAGAATAGCATTTTTTTGGTCAAATACTTGTCCTAAACAAGTATTGAACACATGGAGTATTCGAAACGTTCCTGCAGTGAAGATTCTATTTTCTTAACTATGAATATAAATAAAAGAATGTTAAACATGTGTCCAAGAAATGTTAGAGGCTAATATATGTCCAACATGGGTATGTCACATTCTTAAGAATGTATGTTTCTTACTTCTAAAAGATACACAATCGAGCAAATACATACACCGTCCCTAACCGTTTTATCGCTTATATTTAATTGAATAATATTATTTGAACCTAAAAATTTGACATAATTTAGTGCATTTGTTGTAGTGACCGCTGACTCCCTGTTAATAAGCTTTATCCTTACAAGTAGACTTCTTTGTTGCTTTGTTTTCAATGATATGTAAGAACTTGTAAATATAGGCAGTAGATTAACAAGACATTAATGTCTAAGCTGGGATGGCAAATGATAGCTCAACAGTCCAAGTTATGGACCTCACAGCTAGCAAAGAAGTATTGCTCCAGACATGCCTTTCCCCATGTGCAAAAACAAACTTCAGACTCTCCCATCTGGAAACAAATCCTTGAGATTAGACCATTGATAGAACAAGGAGCCTACTATATAGTTGGAAATGGGCATAAGATAAACATTTGGACTGACCCATGGATCCCCAACTTTCCATCTTTTTAACCCACCAATGCCACAGGAAATAGAATCTCTACCCATTATGGTTGAAGAACTTATTGACCAGCAATCTAGAACATGGAAGATCAATGTGATTCAATCATGCTTTGATGAAGAAACTGTCCAAGCAATACTCAAGATTAGATTAGCTTCATTTCCAATGGAGGATACAATGGCATGGATACCTTCCAAGTCAGGTATGTTCAGCACAAAGTCAGCCTACACTTCTCTTAGAACAAATCTTGACTCGCACAACCATTATCTTTCCTCGGCTGATTGGAAAATGCTATGGAAATACTCTATACATGAGAGATTCAAGATGGGGATATGGAGAGCAACCACTAAAAGTCTCCTTACAAAATTTACCCTCGCTTGTAGATTCCCAGTCCAAGACATCCTTTGCTCCTTTTGTCAACAAAGCCCAGAAACTGAGGTTCACCTGTTCTTTCTATGCCCCATAGCAAAATTGATCTGGTTCTACAAATGGGGACTTCACACTGACTTGTTTCATCACCTATCCTTTCAAGAATGGATCCATAATTTACTAAACCAGAACCTCATTTTCAGCCCTTGTAAACCCTTTCAGAAG